TTAACACCGCCCTCCCACTGGACACTGACACAGATGCCCCTGATCAAATCCCCGACTCCGAGGCTGTAAGCATCTCTGTTGCTCCTGAAATCAAACCAAGTCCACCATCTGCTGCTGAGGCCAAGCCAAGCACTCCACCAGCTATGGAAATTAAGTCCAGTCCAGTCACTGAAACGAAAGCGAGCCCAACACCTGAGACCAAGAAAACCCCTGATCAGCCCGTGGAAGTAAAGTTGGATGTGCCCAAACCAGAAGAAATTAAGCTTAGCCCGGCCCCGAGCCCTGAGCCCAAGGCTCGTCTGAGTCCAGCTGATCCAAAGCCTGCACCCAGCCCAAGCCCAGAGCCTAAACCAGCTTCTCCTAAAGCCCCCACACCTGAAAGTAAGAGCGCCCTAACTCCTACACCTGAGCCCCCGAAAGCGACCACACCAGAGCCTATCACCAACGGTACACCTGATCCAGGCCCGGATTCCAAACCAAGCCCAGATCACGCTGATGTTATCGGAGGCACGGGTCCCAAAGCAGCCCCACCTAAAACCCCTGAGGTGGAGCTGAAATCTGGTGATGCCGTATTAGAGGCCAGCAAAGATGGCACTGTGGCTGAGGATTCAACCACCACCTGAGAACTGCCCCTGCAAAAACACAAGGGAAGCCCCACAGATCTTCTCCATCTCCCACCACTGTAGACAATCGAACACCCCCTACCAAATGTTGAAGAAACCACTGAAACTGGGGCGAGGGCTTTGGTTAACATGTCTAATGCCTGAACACAGTATTACTTTGATAATGGTATCTCACTTGTCTATTACTAACATAACCTTTCAGACTTTCTGATTCAGAAAAACTTCACATAACAAATGCGGCTTGTTGATTGTTAAACATTTTAGCTGTACACACCGTGCTGGTGTTTTTTTATTTCATTGGGTAACTCCACAGTAAAACTGCCAGACTTCGAATGAAATCCTCTGCAGAGTTTACAACATAACTGTTAACCCCACATATAAGGTCTTTTCTAACATGAGGTACCCAGAAAGGTTTACAAGATTTTATTAATACAAAGACAAACTAGAATTCCTTTTTACTTTCCTTTTTCCTTTCCTTTTATTTTACTTCAACTAACCACCCTTTCCCATAATGATGCTTGTTCTTCTATCAGCATGTGAATAAAACAAAATGCATGCAATTTTCAGCCACTGTCGTCTCAAACCTACTAAAATGTGTGATGACATTCTTTTGATTGGACATAATCAAAACAGAAATCAAAGCCCTTTTGATTACACAAACCACAACAACCACTGTTGTTTGGCATTTTGTACATAGCTGAAATGTGGATGTTATATGCTTGTGCCAGTCGTGTGGCCTCAGAAACATCTGCAATACGCCATCACATATAGCGAAAAGATGAATTTTGCATAGTTTTATCCACACATGAAAATATACTAATAATACTAACCCAACTATTTATAGTCTGTGAGATTGAGATTCAGACCCCTAGTGGATATCTCAGATGATTAAAATGCATTTTGCAGATGGATCCCTCAAGTCCGGATCAACCATTTTACTGTCTTTGATCTGGATTTTTTCCGGTGGCTCTACAAAATTCCATTACTCTTCAATTATAATAGGAAGCTCATGCCGGCAGAAACTCCAGGCACTTAACGGGACCACCATGTTCCCACTGTACGTTGGGCTTTCCAAAGGTGAAATACTGAATGAAAGTGTTTGGTAAGTTCAAATAGTTAGAAAGTGCTTACTCGTTTCTCTGTTTTCTTTTTCTTTCATTATCCTTTCTTGCTCCGTTCCTTGTCTTTGTCAAGTTTTTATTTTGTCTATCATTCCTTCCATGAACCTTTTCCATTCTTTCCTTACCTTGCTCTCTCCTTCCCTCTCTGGGCATCATTTTAAACTACTTGCTTGTTCACTTAGTTCAAAATAGATATTAAGTCCAGAATATGTGGGTTTGCTAACAATGACAGAGAGTAGTTCCTGTGTTTTTGGCCTGTTAATATTTGGAAAAAGTTGAAACATTTATGCCAAGCATCTTTAATGTCTCCAAAATAGTCCTACGAGGCCTTTATCATTACCACAACATTGTCTGTCCAGAGCTGGTCTATGTGAGTTTGCAGGTTTGTGGATGTTCAGTGAACACAAATGAAACTTAGTTTAAACTTGTGTGGTAAAGAGGAGGTGTGCAGATACAGTTTTCATGTGACAAAATGCATGTCTCTACCTCATGTTTTAACTGACCACTGAAAAAAAAAAACAGTGACAGTCCAGGTTTGATGCACTGAAATCAACAAGAAGCATTTTGGACTTTTGAGAAAAGCACAATAAGACAGCCATGATAGTTCAATCAATCAGTGAGATGTTGAAAAATTGTAAGAAGTAGATCGATCAACAACCAACTGGCCTTTCTTGGTAGCTTTCCTGACTAATACATTTTTCTTACAAGTAAATTGATATCGGAGATATGTCAAGCCATAAGATTTGATACTGAAACCAATATAATAAATAAAGTAAAACTACAAAAAAATTAATGATAATAATAAAAATCAAGGTGCCTCGATGTTAGATGGACAAACAGCATCAGACTTTCAGGTCACATGTATTGAAATTGAACAAAGGTAATCTAAGGATTAGATAATGAAACACAGTGGATATGCCTAATTTCCAGCCTGGACCTGCGAAGGAACCACGCACCTATTTTGGCAATACTGAAAATGGTCTTTATGCAGACATACAGAACATCACACACAGATAAACAAACCAGACACACACACCCCAGCCTTGTAAATATTGCATGTGTACGCCAGTTTAACCCTGTTAAGACTGAATGTTTTTAGTGTATAGTACGGTTGTTGTATTATACTTAATAATAAAAAAAGAAAACTAATTTAAATTTCTCACCAACCTTAAATCCAGAATATAGAATATATACACATACTATATACTATTTACACTAATATTCACTAACGTGTTGAACTAATTTAAGAACAAAATATTGTAAAAATCCATCAAGACTATACTAGATCTTTTTAGATCAATTATCTGCTATTGTTGCCATTCCAACCTGATGATACTCACATCGTACAGTATCTCTCACAGTATTTACATGTTGTATTAAAATGTTTAACCTATGCCACTTAAAGCATTGACTGCAGCATGCCCACGACATGTTCTGAACAACAGGCTTTTATTGTCCTACAGTTGTTTCTGTGTGTGTGTGTGTGTGTGTGTGTGTGTGTGTGTGTGTGTGAGTGAGTGTGACCAGAGGAGTGATGTTTTAATGTTGCCATCATTGTGCGCTGGGGATCTATGTGTTTTAAGTGTGTGTGCCCATGATGCACGTGTGTATGAGTGTGATTGATTTAAGGCTAAGTGTTTGTGTGTGCGTGTGTGTGTGTCTGTGTGTGTGTGTGCGCGCCGTTTGTACAGAATGCAACCACTGTTCCTTCATGTGAGCTTGTCCATCCGTTGTGAGTAAGGTATCCATGCGCCTGCTTAAATCGTGTTGCAATGTGAACAAAACAAGTGCTGTGTTGAAGTCATGAGTGTGAATGTGTTTAAAACCACAAAAAATATTGTAAACGATATTGTAACTTTGAGATATTTGAATGATTCTCGTCTTTGTTTTAGTGCCTAAAATGTGTATTGGATAGTCGGTCTGTACTCTGTCATTAGCCGACACTTCTAATGGCACCTTTTTCTTAATAAGTAGGGTATTCACAGATGTAGAAGCTGTTAGCACACCTGACTGAACAAAGCGATGATATGATAATGTGTAGGAGATGTATGACGTATTGTATGAACGTTAAAAGTGACGGGGAAAGTCTGACTTTGAGGTTTCCCGGGTGATTATGTGTAGCATAAAGAATGCTGAGTGTGCTTCATTTGTGAGCGAGGGTGTTTTCCATTGCATCGATCAAGTCTGTAGCGCAGTTCAGAGTATGTGAGGGAATTCTTGATGGCAGCAGATGAATGACAAAGCTTTGTGTGAGTAGCCCTGAGGGTTGTGTTGTGATAAGCACCTGATGAGAGACTGCCAAAACAGCATTTCCTTGTACCACCACTACTGAATATTGTCAGTGATTGTAATACCAAGCCACTCAGAGTGAGTAGGGAAGTGAGAGAGGCGGAGAGTGCATTAGTGGGTAGGGCGAGCCTTTGGTTTACACATTATGAGTATCTCAGAGAAGGCTCAGTCTAGTGGAATTGCAGTTATTATATCTAACAGGTACCAGAGGGATTCTGGTTTCATGTCCACCTCTGATAACCCACTAATAGAAACCACTACTGTTAATACCACTGGCACTACTTGCACTATGTGAGTTCTCTCTGCCCCGATCCTCTCTGTTTACTTCTGCTGTGCTGGCCTGGGTGTGGTGTGACGTTCCTCATGTTCTCTCTGTACTCCCTTTTTGCACAACACTTCACACAGATGTTTTGTAAAGAAAATGATTTTTTTTTCTTTATTTCATGTCTAAAGGAATACTAAGAATAAACAAAAGATTATGACATTTGTTGTGCTGTTGTGTTTGTTTTCCTACTCTGAGGAACAAACTCACAGAAGGACTGTGTAGTCTCAGCTGTCGCCATCTCAGTCACTTATCTCACTCAGTGTCAGCCATCACTTGTTCACTTGAGTGTCACGCACCACTTTCTCACCCCAGGTCACACTAATTCCATAACCTCGCCAGGACATGTCATAGCAGAGCAGGCACAGCAAAGATATTTATAAACAGGCCAAAGGTAACGTCGTAACGCTAACACCTGCTACAGACCCTGAAGCTCCAGACTGGCTACAAGTTACCTCCTCCATGCTTTGTTTTCTTCTCTCTTTTACAGGTGTTCAAGATTTATTTGAAGCATCCCTTTCAACCACATTTATTATGCTGAATCTAAAAAAGTATCTAAGTAATATCGGTAAAATTGGAAGATATAAATGAAAAATACACAGAAAATCATTTGTAGGTAAAGTGACAACCACATTTTATGTGTTTTCATGAGAGTATTTAATGTGTTGATTGTCTATTTACAATGCATACAACAAGTTGTAAGTACATAATGTAATTAGGACTGCAATTAGTGATTATTTTCATTAACAATAATTCTGTCAATTTTTTTCTCATTAATCAATTAAACATTTTGTCTATAAAATGTCAGAAAATAGTGAAAAATGTCCAACACAAATTTCCAAAATCTGTGGTGATGTCTTCAAATGGTTTGTTTTATTGAAAAGTTACTCAAACGATTAACTGATCTAAAAATAGTTCCCAATTGATTCTCTTTTGATTGACTAGCTGATTAATTAACTCGTCATTCATCTCTAAATCTGCTCTAAATGTTTATGTTAACAATTAGTATTGGACCATCATTGCTCAAACTGGTGCTAATCGTTCCTTATTACAGTGAAGGGTTAAACATCTTAAGTGGCACTGTGTTCTTTCCATCATCTGTGTCACATGGGTTATAGAAGGGGAACAGAGGAGCCAAGACCGTTCCCATGGTGAAGGTGTAGATTGGTGCCATGGTAACAGCATTATAGAAAGACACCTCTTCCTTATCACAGTCTAAGAACACGCCGATGCGGACGAGGTGGACAGACACTTTGACTTTGGTGGGTTTTGGGTCGGTGCAGGCCAGGACGGTTCCACCCTTCAGGGCCAGGGTCCAGAGGCCACTGGAAGTGCCTGTCGCAGCCATCTCCCCTCTCGGGACATCTTCTTGTGCCACACCCAACCTCCATGCTGTCTTATGACCCACCTCCACCTCCCAGTAGTGTCGCCCTGAGGTGAAGCGCTGATGACTCAACACACAGTAATAGTAGTGGAACCGTCGTGGGTTGGCCTCAATGTCCTGGGTGTCTTTGTCTTCATCAAACCATACGGAGGTGCAAGACTGAGACAGAGACAGATTAGGGTGGGCTGTCTCAGGGTCAAAGGTCAATGATGTAATATCTGTAGACAACAGAGATTAAGTAAGATAAATTCTGCTGTTGTTTTGCATGTGTTGTGTCAAATCAGATGACATATATACACATACTTGGGTAGAGGCAGCTTTTCATATGCTTCCATATCCTGTACTGGATGGGCCCCACAAACTGGCCAGAGCGCACTTCAGTGTCCACCTCCGCTGGAAGAACAAAGCTGACCTGAGACCTGCTTGGACAAAATAGAAAAAAGGGAGGACTGAATGATGGATGATGGAACATCAGTCCTGGTAGACACACCACAGAGAGGATTAAAGAGATGGATTGATCTGCACGAGTAAGAGGAAATGCCAAGCACACATACACATAAGATTAATGTGTTAGTGGGAAACAGTGGAGATGGTAAAAGAAAAAAATGTTTTGTAAAAACATGCTTCGAGGAAACCTGCCTTTTTATAAGATCTTGAATTTCCTGAAATGAGAGAAACAGTTTAGGAAAAAAAGGGTTGTAAACATTTATACAGCATTTTACCACCTTATGCTGTCCATTCCTATTTGCTGACTCGTGCATTGACTGCCTTTTGTCCTTTCACTTAAATGAGAAATTGATTTTGACTTGCAAAACCAGGCAAGTCAACTGTTCAGCCAATCAATGTCTATAAGTGACCAAATAAGTACCAATGGACAGCTGCAGAACGGCTAACAGGGTTACTCCGCAGCCCTCGGATTGGTGTTTGTGACTTATTTTCACAAGTTTTGTCCCAGTTCCAGGGAAATGCCAACAGTGACAGTATAAACCCATGTGTTCCTGCTCTGCTGTTGTGCTAAGACTTTTCCAGAATGTTTTATTGAGTCCAAACCATTCTCCACCTCCTCCTCTGTCCCCACCCACACCTACGCTCCCCCTAGGTCCAAATTTGTATCAACACACCCCACCTTTGTATAATTACAGTATATTCAAGTCAGCAATGAGACAAAATCTAGTAATAATCAGATGTGATCTCTGGATTTCTTCTTTTTCAGTGAAAATGCTTCCTCACTTTGAGCAGCTTAGGACTGTCGTCCTCAGCCAGTTTGCTGTTGAGCACTGTGATTGCTCTCTCCAGGCCTCTCCCTTGCTCTGCTATTTTCTTCTCTCTCTCCTTCAGCTGCTTCAGTTGTTTCTGTCTCTCCCTCCTCAGTCGCTCCAGGTCCTTACACTCCTCCTCATCCAAGAAACGATGGAGGTTCTGAAACTCAGCTCTGATTTCTCGTTCCAGGCCATCAAAACTGGTCTGAAAGATGAAAAAATGGACAGTAATTAAATCAGCCGGGGTGTGACAAAAAAACTGGATATGACTATTTTTATATTTAGTTTTATGTGAAAGTAGAATTACATATAACATAATATATAAATGTATATATATGTGTATGTATATATGTTTGTGTGTGTGTGTGTATATATATATATATATATATATATATATACATACGGATTTATAATGCAGTAACAATACCTCCACTTCCACTGACTCTATGAACGTCTCTCTCTCTGCTTCTCTGCACTCATCTACCTCATGCTTGATTCTTTTAATAGCCTGGACAAGCTTTTGCTGTAACACACACACACACACACACACACACACACACACACACACACACACACACACACACACACACACACAGGAGAAAGCGGATTGGAGAAAAAAATACACATGGAAAAGAAATGTTACTGATTTGATATTCTGTGTATTGAGTTTCTTTGTCTATCAAATATGACCTTTAATATAAATACAGCCACAGAAAATGTATCTCATGTCAGCTGTACTTCACACAGAAGCAGGTGAAAACGATAAAACACGAAGCTTACCTTGTTATCACAGAGAAGACTTTTATTGCAGTTGTTGTTGGTGTCTTTGGTGTGGTTTTGGTACATTCCAGTTGTCTGCAAAAAGGACAAAACAGAAATCGAGAAGACTCTTGAGAAAGTGCCATAAAGGTGATTGAGGGAGTTAAAAGGGAGGGACAAAGCGAAGGACAGGAAAGCGTAACAATACACAGAGGGAGAGGGAGAAAGAGAGAGTGGCTGAGAGGGAAAAAGCACATGCCAGCACAATGAAAACAACAGCAAGACTACGGTCAGATTAATAGAGCAACAAGGACATACATCCAAGCAGAAAATTAACGAGAGAAAATGTATTGACAAGCACAGGTCAGTAGCCACAGCCTGACTTGTGAATATATGGATCCATTAAAAGTAGAGGAGAGATAGGGAGGGGGGTGGAAAGAAGGCAAATGACTGTAGCTGCCAGGGGGGGCTTGCTGGCTGGCTGGCTGGCTGGCAACAGCGATTTATGGCAGCAGGCACATAGGAGTCTATTTCTGTCTGCCAGTGTCTTTGGAAAGAAGAATCTGGTGGTGGAGAGAGGCAGCCAGTCAGTCAGATATTGTGTTTCATATCAGCAGTTGTTTTGCCTGGAAGGGAGACAATGCATGTTTATTTTTGCAAGGTCACTCTCTAATGTCTGTGGGCATGAGAGGATCCAGTGCAGCAACTATAAGCTATTAAAATGCTTGCTTCAATAGTTGCATTGAAGGACGCTGTTTAGGTAACCGTACCCTGCTGGGGCCACTGTCTCTAAATGGACAGTCAGCATTTCTGCTCTCTTTTCTCCCAGGAGTAGATCTGCACCCCACTGCCCAGCCACAAGCCTCTTCCCATTTTATTTTAAAACACAGCCTATCTAAACTTTTTATATCTTTACCTCTTTCTTTGTTTCTGCCTGTCTCTTCCTCTCAAACAGAGACACACACGGGGGTCTGGTTGTGGGTATGTGCACTGAAGCAGCATTACTCATCTCTGCAAATGTTCCTCATCTATAATTCATTGTGCTGGGTCCTGGCAAGTGACTGTGCTGAGCTAAGGTTGAGCTGCAAACTCAGTGCACTACAGTATGCGGCAGGTGGTGGGGACACTGACAGGATGATTCAATAAAACACAAAGGCCAGCTGCATGAAGTCATGGAAGTATGCACAGCAATTTCTGCAGCTGTGAACCAGCATTAACAATTAAATATTAACTATATGAATTGTCTTTTTGTTTAATTTGGACTTGAAATTATGGGACTCGTAGTAACACCTAATAATGTTCACAGCATGGGAAATTGGCCATTTATATTGGCATGTAGAAATACAAGACAGTCACAATAGCAGCACAAAAAATATTAAAACATTTGATTTGATTGTCAGTCAGACTTTATGTTATTATCAAATTACACAAAGGAAATAAACAAAATACTTCTACACTTAAATACTTTTGCTTTTGTAGCCTTGTCTGCAATTAAATATTTATATATAGAAATAAATAAATGAATAAATAAATATCTCCGCCCATCGCGACGCATGAAACTGACGTCACGACAGTAAACAAGAGCATGTCGCACAGACAGACTCAAGTAAGAGGTATCAGTTGTTTTTCATGGATAAAAGTGTCTTTATAATTCATCGAAATCATGTTTTCACATTTGAGATGAATCTCGGTGTATATTTCCAGAGCTCCGTGAGACCGGCAGCTGTGTATCTTTAGCGAGTTAGCTGTGTAAGCTAACGTTTACCTTTAGCTTAGCCTAGATTAGCATACAGCCCACCATCCTGTTCATCACACACTGCAGTAGTGTTGTGTTTTCACTAACAAACAGACCATATTATGTAAATTACCTTTAGTATGAATATATATAATGACAACTGTTAACTAGCTCATGTTTGGTCGTTTGTGTGTCGTGTTGCAGAAATGAACGGTCAAGCGGACGTCGAAGTTGACTACAAGCGGAAATACAAAAATTTGAAGAGAAAGTTAAAGTTTCTTGTTTATGTGAGTATATTCATCAGTTACATTCAGTCGACACTTTACAAAAACATACAGCTTCTGTCTCTTTATCTGGACTGTTTGGTTTTCTTTTCCAGGAACAGGAATGTTTTCAGGAAGAGCTGAGGAGAGCACAGAGAAAGCTTCTCAAAGTTTCCAGGGACAAAAGGTGACTTTACATTGTGTGTACTTAAAAATGAATGGATATTGAGCAATTTTACGTGCGTGAAGTAAACAACAATCTCAATCTCATCTCTAGTTTCCTTCTGGACAGACTGCTACAGTATGAGAGGGTAGATGAAGACTCCTCAGGTCGGTGTGAACCTCATTTCATTATGAGTAAACAGTTTTTCTGTTGCTTTCCTTTAATGCATGTTGTATCCGCTGTGCCGCTGGATCAAGTTTTCTTGTCTTATGTTCCAGATTCAGATGCAACAGTGTCTTCAGAAAACAGTGAAGGAGAAGGTCCCAGGGAGAGGGAAAGAGAACGTGACGGAGCAAAGAAGTAAGTTGGGCATTTTACATAGGATTCAGGGTAACTCTTGAGTAGCACTATGTAGAACATTCATGAATCGCTAGTACCATGAAACATCACATGAATATGAATGTGCAATATACATATTGATAAATTATACTCTAGACTTAAACTTAAACACACTGTAATAAACATAGTCCTAGTACAATGAACGACAGATTATCCAAATGAAACCTTGAAAATATGGTTTCTTGAGGGGACTGGGTAAAAAGTTATAAGGCCTTCAACAGCAATCCATTATTTGTATTTAAGTCTTGAATGAGTATGTGAAAGGATGATACAATTATCTGGAATTATAACCTAACAGCACTGATATTTGAGTCATTACACGTAATTTATAGGTACTTGTAATTGTAAACAAAATAGTCTACTTGTTTGATGCCAGTTTAATTTTCCAAGGGTCCACTTTGTGTCTGTTTCTGACCATCATTAACACTTTCCAGGACCACACTGAAACAGGTTTAGAAAACTACTGGATTAGTGTGGACAGGAGGCCAAAACATAGAGAACGATACGCTCTAAATTCTCTTGCTGTTAGACCCCACTCATCAGTTTCTCTAATTTCTCACGTACTCTTTTCAGGCGAAGAAGTAGTCCAGGGGCGTGTCTTCCTTCATCATCCTCTCCTCATCTCTCCTTGCTGTCCCGTCCTGGTGTTAATCCCCTGCAGTCATCAGGCTCTGGACCCTACCTCAACACTGTGAGTTTCCATCTCCCTCTCTGATATCTTAGTAACATTGCTGCCATTGTCATCTTCTCATCAGCAAACATAATCCTTGTTTTAATTTGACATTATTTATATAATTTGAATTTTTTTTGGTCATTTTATTCATAAGTCTGTTTTATCTCTTCTTTGTTTTTTGTTTGACATCTATAATGGCTTCACTGTCCTTGCATTGTTCATTCTTCTGTGTATGTTTTTTTGTGTTTTTGTGTGTGTCTTTCTTGTAAATTGCCTATGCCTGTGTGCATGTGTGTTCGTGTGGTCATTTGGCAAATTGGGGGCTGCGTGCGTGTTGGGCAGATGCCCTTCCCACCAGAGTATTTGGCTCCCCCAGCTGAACGAATGAAGAAAGAGAGAAAAACAAAGACGCCAAAAAACAAGAAAGAGACTACGGGGAAGGTGAGAGAGGAAAACAGAAAATGGGATACTTAGAGATGATGATGATAATAATAATAATAATAATAATAATAATAATAATAATAATAATTATATATTATTATTATTATTATTATTATTAATAAATATATATATATATAAACAAGTACAAGGAAGTGAAAAGTGTTTGTGTGTTCTCCTAGAGTCCAAAAACTCAATATTGGTTAATTTTATTTTGTTGCACAGTTACTTGATGTAACTCGATGTAACCTGTAATAATGACATTTCAGAACACTGATGATGAAGGAAATTCAGTCCCCCAAGTATTTTTAAGTTTGGCACTGCTGAAATGACCTTCTGGACAGTTTTTTCATAAGTTCAAATACATACTACGTGCTGATGCTGATTTACAGCCATCCATCCAGACCCCTCCTTCCTACATCATAATCTTTGTCCCTCTCTGTCATTCCTAACACTTTTGTTTCATTCTGACCTCAGGTTGTTGCCCCAATGGCAGCTAATTACCCATCAGCCCCCGCAGCCCCTCCAACAGCCAGCGGCCCCTTCAGCTGGGTTCCCAGACAGATGCTAAGTGGAGATGCAGCTGAGGAGGAGGGGGAGAGCGATGGAGACAGTGACAGAGGAGATGAAGACAGAGGGGAGGGAGACGAGGCTGAACTAGTTATTGACATCCCTAACGAGTGAAACTGAGCATGTTTAGATGTATTTAAAAGCAGGGAATGGACGGGATGTACATGTGTGTGCAAGAGAATGTGACAGTCTGTGCAGTTTCTGTGTTCAGCAGACCATTCTATATTTTCAAAAGGGAGCCAAGCGCCCCCTGGTGGACTTCTATTTAACAGCAGCATTGCTGTCAAAAGTATCTCCCACAGAAATGTGGTTTTCATATATTATGTTAAGAATCTGATCTGTGACAGAAGTGCAGTTTTTAAGTTTTTAAGAAAAACCTACTGCCACTGTGATGATTGGATATGTTACCTTGTACTTAGCTGCCCGCTGATCATTTTGTCTAAACAGTCTTGCAATGCACAACTGTGTGCACAATTATTTGTCCTCCATTATCCAACCACCATGAAAGCTGAGTTAGTATGATAGAAATGTTTAAAACCTTGTGTCTTGTTTGCCTATTACAGGCAGTTTTGACACTTCATTTGAATTTATGCTATTAGACGATATGTTCAAATCAAAGATGTTCTTGTTAATTGAAATATATTATTTTACACCTATCAAAGTGTGTGAGTCAGAGAATAAAATGTTAAATATTTCTCATTTTGTCATTGTAGATATGTAAAAAACTGTGTAAGTGTTATTGACATTTTATAGAAAGGCTGGATGCCCCACCCAAGGCTTCACACCCTAAAACTGTCATTCCAGAGCTACAGTCACTCAGGTATGCTGCAATCTGTGTGAACTGTATGCAGGACATGTGTACTGAAAACATTCATTCTTATTCATACGAATAAAGAAAGCCAATATAAATTTGTTTCATGTTAGTTATTGCACATGATTTTCTTTGCTTGCTTGAGGTCTCTGCAAAGAAATCTTAATACCAGTCTTGACAGAAGCCCAGGGGTACATTTGGCTCATGTTTGCCACAACTCTAAGGCAACATGAACGCAGCGTGGCTGGATTCCACCTCTTCTAGATCTCAAAGGGAGTGCTGGATATTTTTCTTTTCACTCTTGCACATGCACAGGACTAGCTTATGGGATTGCATACCAATTGCTGTTTTTGTTACATGATGATTTAGTGAAGAAGAGTCAGCCAACATCATGTCCCAACAGGCATGTTTTTGGTATTAAGGAAGGCGAGCTGCAATGAAAGACAGTATGTTTTGTCTGGGAAGTGAGATTTCAAGAATAGCTGCACTCTGGGTGAGACAATGACCCGTGACTGTGACACTGTCAGGATTAAGCTTTAATGAGAACATTGTTCATTTTAAACCTCAGATGCTCACTTCTTACCTGGAGTTTCAAGTGAGACGTTCTGCTTGAGTCAGCACTTTCAGGTATGTGCTTTACCAATAGTAATAGACAACAGGAGTGTGTTAATCAAGTTACCTTGTACAGAGATTATTGTTTGGGAATGCAGACCTACAGGTAATTGACAGCTTTTAGTAGATGTGGGCTTGGTTTGTGTACCTAACAGCAAAGGGAGTTAAAGGTGTAACCATAGAGAGTATAAGAGGGAGGGGTGAAGTGGAGGTACAGCCGGAGGGATAGTCAAAGAGGGTGGAACTGACAGAGGGGGCGAGGTTTTCAGGGAAAGGGAAATGAAGTAGTAAGCAAGATTGTGCCTGCAACACAGACTCACTCTGTCAGAGTACAGCTGAAATTAAAAGAAGACAGTCATGGCTGGAGACAAACAGGAGGAAAGAACAAGGAGTGTGTGAGAAAAACTACAAGAGATTAGCAGCCAGCCTTGGCCACCTTATCTTCTCCATCTATATACGGAAACCTCTGGATAATTTATAAGCCTCTCCCTCTCACTCTGTGTGAGTGCGTATGAGAGAGAGGGGGGATTTGCTGAGCTCACCACCACCATGCTGTGTCCTGCTACTGTCAGTGCAGCTGCTGCGGCTGTCTGGCTGCTGGCAGTGCTGGGCCGAGGCCTGTCTCTTCCAGCTGAGGACAACTCAGAGTCAGACTTCACCCTCTGCAGTCACTGCTTCTACAGGCAGACACCTCCTCAGGGAGCCTCTGCAGGGCTGCGCCTACTCTGCCACAGATTGCCCAGGGGACAGGCGTTTGCCACTCTGACCAGACCAACCTGTGACACAGCTGTCTACTCCGCGTTCCATCTCAGCCATGGATGGACAGAGAAAGAGGGGGAAGAGCTTGTGGTAAGAACACATCTCTCATGTTGTTTAAAGTGGTACAATCTGTTTTCGAATAAAGGAATTAGAGGTGTGAAGTGCAGTATAAAATCACAGCTTGTTTTAAATCAGTGGTGTAAAGCAAAGCACATTTACTCAAGTACTGGACTTAAGTATGAATTTGAGGTACTTGTACTTGACTATTTCCATTTTTACTTCATACTTGTACTCCACTACATTTCAGAGACATATATTGTATTAAGGTTCTGCATTAAAAACATATGATAAGCTAATAATTAAAATGTTTTGTTAAAGATTAAACTAGTGGTTCCCAGCCTGTTTGGATTGTGACCCCTTACAAAAATGCAGTGTCTGGTTAGGGCCTGTGATGACTAAGTGGTTATCAGTTCCATCAACGAGCCATTTCCCCTCTAAAGTTTGATTTTGCTAACTGTTCAAGGCTCCTCTTTTCACAAAAAAAGCAAAAATGTTTGAAAAATCTCCAAATAAATAGAAAGTTGTGGAAGAGAACTGTTTTTTCTTCTTCTTACACCATTAATCATCTCATGACACCCCAACTTTATCTTGTGACCCTTTTGGCTCCCTGCCCAAATCCTAATTGGGAACCACAGAACTAAACTACTTATGTGTATAAAATTAGCTCCTCCTCAACCAACTGCAACAGAAATCTCCATTTTTTTAAACAGTGAGCTTTGGTAATTTCCTGCAAGATAAGAGCAATTGTGGTCAACAAACCACCAAAAAAGCTGGATTTTTGTTCAGGAAATGACGTTTGTCAAACTTAAACCATTCAAATTGTTGCATAATTATCTTTAATCAGTCAGCTGTTGGTATACATTGACAGTAAAACAAGAATAATACATTTTTTTCACATATCCTATTTTTCATGTTATAGAGACTCATTTAACACAACCAAAAATCCCTGGTCAATTAAATAAAACGTTTGAAAATACTAGCTTATGTATCTGTAAGGTAATACAGGGGATTATAACAAGTGTACACTTGATGCACCCACACCATAACAATTGGTTGTGATTATTTTTTCTCTCAGACAGAGGAAGAAGACAACATTGAAGTGGCAGTACCAGCTCTCCTCAGAGGAGGCGGGGATCCATCTCATCCTGTGTCGCCCATAGACTCCCCTCTTCAACACTGGGACTCAACAGTCACAACACTGGTTCAGTCAAGCATCAGTCCCCAGTGTAGCACTTTAGGAGGCGACCTCTACATCCTGACTGGGGCAGGAGGTCTCGGGGCTGCTGAGGATGGAGACGAGGAGTGTCAGATGAAGCCGCTGTGGTCTGCAGTGTGCTGCTCTGTCCCAGGGGCGAAGGATGGCTTCAGCATGGGGTTAATCAGAGAGACAGAAGGAGGGGAGAGGCAAGTGAGCATGACAGAACTGGAGGAGATGCTTGGAGTGGGAGACATGTTCTCTGAAGGCTGTGGAGGAGCAGATGTGGAAACTGCTGGAGTTGGAGTAGGTCTTCACAGTGAGGGGAACCAAGGAAATATAGAAAAGATGGATTCAGATGCTTCTAGTGAAGAAACGGATGATAAAGATGTGGATTCAGATGCTCCAAACGAAGAGACGGATGATAAAGATGTGGATTCAGATGCTCCAAACGAAGAGACGGATGATAAAGATGTGGATTCAGATGCTCCTGGTGAAAAGACGGACAATAAAGATGTGGATCCAGACACTGCTGGTCAAGACAGCGAAGGGAAAACTACTGTTGATGCCCAGCCAGAGGAAGCTGATGAAGTAACACGGGAAACTTCAGAAGATGCGGTGAAATCAGCGAGCAGCAGTGAAGAGCAGGCTGATGTGAGGCGTTCAGGAGCTGTCAGGTCAGAATCTCCTGAGTCTTCAGCTGAATATGAGTCTGTGGATGAAGAACAAAATTCCACCAGCACTCTGGTCTACATCCTCTCCACCACCATGTCCATTATTAAAGCTCCACTACGCCCTGTGGTCTCCAAGGTCACACAGTTACCTGGACAGGTGATACAATTTACTGAACCTTTTAGACATATGTTATATTTAAACTTGAGGGGGCACTCCAGTAATTTACTATTACACTTCTATAAGATTGGAATTCACAGGAAAAAGATTTTTAAAAAAAAGAGTAGTCAAAATTGGTCAAGATGTCCCTGCTATACCCCAGTCTGTAACAGAGTGTCAGTTATAAAATTGTAGTCTCCACATCCTAGCCAAGGTAACCCCTTTTAATTTCACCTGCAACAGGCAAAATACTTGGTAATTACAAATACTTTATGAATAATAATATAATAATATGAGTAACAATAACAGTGGGGAAAAGTTAAATGAGTTTGCAAAAAGCAAGAGGAAACGCAGTTCAATCAGGAATGCAACAACAATAGGATTTAGCTGCAAAAATGTTACAGATCATTTCTTGTTTCTTCCTTTGAGTCTTTTTTAGGGAATATCTTCCCAAGAGTCCATGACAGAAAATATTGAGATGTTAGTTTAGTGTTGTTAGTTTGAAGAGAAACAATTACATTTCAACATTTTAAACCCATTTGCGTTTAAGAGTCTTCTCATTCCAGTCTATGGGAGTAGCAGACTGGAATGAGGTGTAGTCAGTAAGAGGTGTTAATGCAAAATTCATTACATTCACTTAGGTCTTTCTGTCATTTCATTATTCACAACTTTTTATCTCACTTAAAAAATGACACTTTTTTTTAATCTTGATTCAGGTGACCTATGTTCTTCAGGAAGACCTTGGAGTTCTCTCTGCCCTGCCTGGAGATACCTACTACCTGCTCCACCTCTTGACCTCTGACCTCTTGTCCTGGATGGGCTCAGCTGCAGAACTGCTGCTGGGTGTCGGGGAAACCTGCTTCTTCAGTGTCTACTACTGCACGTCATCCATCCTGGGAGCCCTGATGAGCAGCTGCCACACTGGGGTCTCTGGCATGGGGACCCTGGCCTGTGACACAGTGGGGGTATTTGGTGGTGTGCTAAATAATACTTGGTGGGTGACCAAGTTCTTTGGAGAGCGGCTGTGGGAGCAAAGCGAGGGTTATGTAGAAACGATGATGTCAGAGATGGGGGGTCAGGCCAAAGCTGTAGGTGGAGGGTTGGGTAAGCTGGCATGGAGAAGTGGAAATTGCGTGGGTAATGTGTTTAGGCTGGGTTGGGGGTTAATTATTGGGATGGTGGATATGCTCACTGGTGCGATGAGAGAGGGATATGGGCAGGAGTCAGAGTGAAGAAGGAAAGGACCATACCCCAGATGAGGCCATCAGTAACAAACTTTTTCAAATGTTTTTCTCCAGTTTTGGTTTGTAAATTTAGAGGTGTGAAAAACAGAAAAACTATTTGAAGCTGATGTCATTTGATATGCCTTAGTTGTTATAGAAGGATTGCCACAATCAAATTTCGTATTATGCAGGTCTTACACTTCACTGTGGAAAGCTGGCTGTCCAAATAATCTGCTGTATTTGAGAGCTTCTCCAACAGTGATTTAAAAAACACTGTCCACACTGTGCTTTTGGATGTGATTGTTCAAGACTACTCTTGTAAGATACTTTGGTTTGTGTGTAAGTTTGAATAAAAGAGATTGCTGGCTTGCCATTGTAACATGCACCATTTCCTTCTTTGTCTATTCTTGTCATTGATATCTTTCTCTGATCCAGTAGTAGAATGTAACTACTGTTTTACACAATTACTCTACGTTAGTGTAATTTTAAGGCACTTGTACTTTTACTTTAAGTCAGTGCATCCACAGTATGTTACTTCATACTTCTACTCCGCAACATTTCAGAGGGATATATTGACTTTTTTTCCTCTTCATTTATTTCATGCCCATTGTTACTAGTTACCCTTACACCAGTAGTTTATAAAATATAACACAATGTTACACATTAGACCACCCAAAAGTCATTACAAATATATTTACTTTGATTGATATAAGTGTTTGCTGGTAAGAAATTTTACTTGTAGTAAAGTATTTCTACACAGTTGCAGTTTACTTAAGCAAACAATCTATAATCTACAACAATCAGTAATGACTTTGAAGTCAAAACTTCCTTTTCATGGATTTTGACTGACTAAGAGTAATTGTGGAGTGTTGTGATGTGTAGCATACACATTTCTATAGGGGAGCATCAATTACAAAATAAAGCTATTTACTATACATGACAGTAGATGGTGCTATTATAACATTTTGCAAACTCATTGCAAACACCCTCTATGCACCAAGATGTGCGCTGTGAGAGAATCAACAGTGTCTGCTGGAACAGGTAAGCTAAAGTTTTTATTAAAGCTTTTATTAAAACTTACAGTCATGTTTTCTTTGCTGATGATCGATCAATAGTCTGGAACATGAATGTATTATGGTCTACTCTAGAACAACAGAAGTCTTCTTCCTGTATTTCCTTCCCTGCTCCCGCCCCAGGCACATCTGACCAATCAGCAGGGTGAACATTCTCACATGGTTTGTAGAGCCGCATTTTGGTTACTTCTTTGTGTGTGTGTGTGTGTGTGTGTGTGTGTGTGTGTGTGTGTGTGAGTGAGTGAGTGAGTGAGTGAGTGAGTGAGTGTGTGTGTGTGTGTGTGTGTGTGTGTGTGTGTGTGTGTGTGTGTGTGTGTGTGTATTATTTGGCACCTTTTCGGTAACACTTGGATACACTGGAATAAAATATAGATATATGGGACTATCGATGACCGACACACAGCACAAGATGTAAAAGATATAAATAGAAAACAATCATATGGTACAAGATTCTTAACAAAGCTTAAGGCATATACTATGACTTTTTTATTACTTTTTATGCCTTACTATACTATATCATTTTTGTGACTTTTATGCCTTACTATATTATGATGTTTTCCACCGTTTTAAGGCCTTTCTATACTATGACGTTTTATGCCATTTTTATGCCTTATTATACTATGCCATTTTTTGACGTTTTGTACTATGATGTTTTTCAACATATTTAGGCCATACTATACTATGACGTTTTTTTGATGTTTTTATGCTTTACTTTACTATGACGTTTTTATGCCTTACTATATTATGACGTTTTATGACATTTTTATGCTTTACTATACTATGACATTTTTATGATATTGCATACCCCACTATACTATGATGTTTTATGTCATTTTCATGCCTTACTATACTATGACGTTTTTTGATGTTTTATGCCTTACTATACTGTGACGTTTTTTAGGTTTTCATGCTTTGCTATACTATGAGGTTTTATGACGTTTTATGCCTTACTATTATATGATGTTTTTATGACATTTTCATGCCTAACTATGCTATGACATTTCATGATATATTCATGCCTTACTGTACTATGACGTTTTTATGCCTTATTATAAAATTATGTTTTTATGATACGTTATGTACTATGTTATGTTATGTTATTTTGTATTATGTTATGTAATTGTCTCAATGAAAATATTTCTAAATTAAAGAATAGTCATTCCACAATCTACACATTGTTTGAAAGCTGTATTAATATTGAGTGATTTTGCATTATCTGACCTGTAACATGTATGAGAGCAAAAAAATATAATTGCAACACTTATCGATAAGCTACATTACTATACTATGACGTTTTTATGCCATAATATATTATGACATTTGTATGCGTTATTATGCAATGACGTTTTGTGACATTCTTATATCTTATTTTACTCTGATGTTTTTATGACATTTTTATGCCTTACTGTACTTTGACGTTTTTCAATGTTTTTATACCTTACTATACTATAACATATTTTGACATTTTATGTCTTACTATACTAGGACCTTTTTATGACATTTTATGCCTTACTATTCTATGACATTTTTTGACCTTTTTATGCCTTACTATACTATGACTCTTTTATGACATTTTATGCCTTACTATACTATGACGTTTTTTGACATTTTATGCCATACTATACTATGACATTTTTATGACTTTTTATGCATTACTATACTATGACATTTTTATGACTTTTTATGCCTACTATACTATGACTTTTTATGCCTTACTATACTATGACCTCTTGATGACATTTTATGCCTCACAATACTATGATGTTTTTGACATTTCATGCCTTACTATACTACGACGTTTTTTGACATTTTATGCCTTACTATACTATGACCTTTTTATGACATTTCATGCCTTACTATACTATGCCCTTTTTATGACATTTTATGCCTTACTATACTATGACGTTTTTTGACATTTCATGCCTTATTATTACTAT